AAAAAACATATTGCCGAAAATGTCTATCCAATTCTAATTTTAAACCGTATTTCCCAAATACGTTTTTCTGATAACCCCAAATTAATTTGAAACCCTAAAGCCTAAATAAATTAATTTTTGTTTTATAAAACGTATTTAATTAATACGGTTTGTAATATTAATTAATTTTTAAAAAAAAATTAAATTAAAATACAACGTATAACTTAAATACGTTTTTAAATATAATAAAAAATTAAAAACATATTTACAAAATACGTTTTTTAACAAAATATAAGTCCGAAAAAATCTTCTCCTCCACCACTCTGTGCGAACAAACACTACACTGCGGGAAGAAAAAAAAAATTGAGTTCTTCATCATTTTCTTTCACCTGAAAATTAAAAAAAAAAAACTTTTAACAATCAATCGATTCGGAGAAGAGGTTAGTTGTTATTTTAATGTAATGTAATTACATTTTTTTTGTTGTTTATGAATGTGTAAGAAATATTTGTTGGTTTTGATGAGTATAGTTTAGAAAAGATTTATTGTTGATTTAATAGTTGTGTTAAATGATTATACATTGTTCTTGGATGATGGGTTTCGGTGTATGTTGAGATTTTTTGCGAAAATTGGATGATTTATATTGTATTGTTGGATTATGAGAATTAGGGTTTTGTAGAATTATTTATAAAAGAATTGACGATTTTTTTTTGTTATTGTAGTATTAATTGGAAATATTTATCTTGATTTGAGTAAAAGAATAATTGATTTTTTTGGGAAATTATGTGTTGTTGTAATTGGGAAGAATTGAAAGTGTATTATATGTTATTGATGAATTTTATTCTTTTGTTGTGGGAATGATAAAAGAATAATTGAATTTTTTGGGTGTTGGGTTAGAAAGTATGTGTTGTTGTAATTGGGAAGAATTGTTTTTTGCAACAGGTATAAATGGCGTCTACCGGACCATACTTTGTTAATGTGTATTGGAATCTTCCCAAGGAGTTGTTATATGATTTTTCAGATTTTAAAAACTCTCCGGAGGGTTCATTTAGCATTGGAGAGAAGATATCATTTAAACAATTGGTGGATATTCTTTATGAAAATTTTGGGTTTCATCGAGATGGTTGGATAATTGAGAAGATTAGCTTACTGACTAACCAACGCGATGGTTCGTGGAATATTGGAAACCTGAATACTGATAGTGCTCTTGAGTGGATATATTATTTCACTCCTTTCTCCTATGTGTATTTGCATTTAGAGTTGAAACAGGTTATGCAGGAGAGGTCATCGACCGGACTGGTTTCGGACCCTTGTTTCGAATGGGTCGAGTCCAAGCCGACAACAGCCTTATTACTGCTCTCGTGGAGAGGTGGCGCCCAGAGACGAATACCTTCCATTTCGATTTCGGCGAGGCCACCATCACGCTCTAGGACGTACAAGTCTTGTTCGGTCTGCCAATCATTGGAGCCGCTGTTGTGGGAGTGACTAGAGATCTATCACCCCTACAGTGGTGAGAGAGGTGCAAGCACTTGCTAGGGTACGAGCCCTATGTTCAGGTATATTTTTTCATAGAATTTTTTTTAAATATATGTCAACTCAATTTTATCGTTTTTAATATGGAAAAACCACTTTCAGGATCCTCCCATCACCGAGGAAGAGCAAGCAGCCCAAGATCCAAAGTCTTGGGACATTAAAGGCCAATATCTGAATGATGGAGGGTTAGAGGAGGAATGCAACCGTGTGTTGTAAGAAGGGCAACCGGACATTGTGTACGAGCAGAGGGCGAGGGTCCTTCATCTTTCCCGATCAGCGGGTGAATGGCATCCCACTTTACTGGCTCGACCTGCTGCAGGACATAGATGCTGTTAAGGGGTACAGCTGGGGTTCAGCTCTACTGGCCGGAGTATACAGAGCCTTGTCAACCTCGTACAAGGTCAAGGAGAAGTGGATGAAGCATTGCGTTCAATTGATCCAGGTAAATTTATTTAATTGTTATTTGAAAATTTAATATTTATTTTTTCTTACTTCGACTAATACCTAGTAACAAAATTAATGTCCATTTGTGTAGGTTTGGGCATGGGAGCATATCCCTCGTATTCGCCCAATAGTCAAGACCAGTAGGTTTGATACTCTGCCTGATTGTCCATTGGGAGCGAGGTAACCTTTATTTTTATTTAATCCGTACATATTTTCATTATCAAATTTTGTGATTACAAACTTTTTTTTTCTCTGATTTTTAAGGTGGGTGGGACCGAAAAAGAGGTCCAACATAGCCAATACATTGGTCGTCTACCGGGATCAGTTGACAGGGCAGTAATATTCTTAATTCCTATTACTTTATTTATCTTTCTTTTTTGTTTATAATTGTGTAATTCCTATAGACTTCTGCACTACAAGGGATTTTTGACGTATTATCCGACATTCAACCATTAATGCCTCAAATCCCTCCAGAAGCGCAGACCGGCTTCCAACAGCCGTACAACTTTGCCTTCTCTTCTCTGACTGTTGGGGGCCAGGGTGTTCCACATGAGGGGCCGTCCAGTTAAGTTTTCTCCCAGGACGAATACATTCCCCCCATGAGGACACAGTCGCACACGGCCATACATCAACCCGCCCCCAACATTGGTGGGGGTAGAAGACCTCAGGCCAGGCCCGTCCCCGCGCTCAACCGTCCACCCAGCACCTCCAACCTAAGATTTTTAAATTAACAATTTCTTTTTTTTTTTTACAGTCCAATTTATGATTTCTTTTTTCAATTAAATTATTCAGATTAAGAAGATGAAAATGAGCAGGCTTTTCAAACTGACACGCTTCTCACACCTCAACCTTCGTCTTCTTCTCACATGGTATATACTCGGAGGGGGTCCAGACCGCGCAAGCCTACAAACCATACACTCCTTCCTAGTTAGTTGTGTTGAATTCGTGGATTTTGTGTTTATTTTGAATTGTTGGATTACCTGTATAAACCGAATTATATCGTTTTGTATATATTGTTTGTTCGACAAATTATTGTATTTCATTTGTTTGTTTGTATGGTATGTTGGATTATTATTGGGCGAATATGTTGATATGGAACAGGTGTATTTGGTTGTGAACAGGTATATTTGACTGGTAATAGGATTTCTGATAAAACCGTATTTAGTTAATGCGTTTTTTAATTTTTTAAAACAAAAACTGTATTTCATGAATACGTTTACTTAGGAAATTTAGGGCAAAATCATTTTGGGGCTAAAATTAGGGCACCAAAAATCAATTCGGGGCAAAATTACATAAAAACCGTATTTTTAAAATACGTTTTATATTTCAAAATTTTTTTCTGAGAAAAATTATTTTTAGACTTGTAAAAATTAATTTTATTTTTAAAACGTATTTCATAAATACGTTTTATAATAAAATATATATATAACTAATTTTAAATGAAAAGCGTATTTATACGTTTTTAATTTTTTTTTACTGTAATTATCCAATATGTTTTTCTAAATTTTAATTAAGTTAATTACGTTAATTAAGTTAACAAATTATTTTTTAGCAAAACGTATTCGATAAATACGTGTTTTAATTGAAAACGTATTACGTGAATACGGTTTACAATTGAAAACGTATTCACTGAATACGTGTTTTTTATTTTGGTCGACACTCTTTTTTTTTTTTTGTCCACTTCATTTTTTTTTTGTTGGTAAAAAAATCAAATTTCAAGTGCTAAGGGCATCCACAACACGGGTTATTTCTCAGCGTTTAAACGCCCCCCGCATTATTCCGCATTGCGACTCATCCGTTAAAAGGGGGGCCCACTGGGCCGTTCACTCTGCTGAACGCGTTCAGTGTTTTATCTTTTATTTTATTTTATTTTATTGTTTTCTTTATTGCTTTCTTTATTATTTTTTTGTTTTAATTTATTTAATCTTTTTTCTTTTAGTTTTTATATTTAATTTATTTTTTATTTATATCACACTTCCAAATATAGATAAATTCAAAATTTATATGTATCACACTTCCCAATGTGTATCAATAATAATTTACATTTTCTATCCACCATTCTTTGCCTATAAATACACCCCATTTTTACACTTTTCCTACACTAAAAAATTTAACTGTTGCTCATTTGCCTAAAATATTTAACTGGTATAGAAGGAAACTGAAATTTGTTATGTTGACATGCATTATTCTACACAATATGATTGTTGAAGATGAAGGAGATGTAGTTACACATTGTCACAATGACGAGGATGAAGAGCCCGCACAACTTGTCCAGGGTTCAAATCGAGAATTTCAAAATTACATTCGTAGAAGTTCAGAGATACGAGATAACTCAATGCATCATCAACTTCGTGCTGATTTAGTTGAGCATATTTGAACTCATTTTGGCAACAACTAAAAAAAATATTTTTTGTAATTGTACTATTTTTTTCTTGTGTAATCTTAATTTAAGTTATTTTGGTCTTGTAGTGTTCTTTCATTTTATGCATTTAAAATTTATTATTATAAATTAAAAATAATAATATATTTTTATTAAGAATAGAATATAAAATTTATATTGAATGAATGAATAATACGTCCTATGTATGTATTTAAATAAATGTGGAGTAATGTGAGTATATGTTTAAATGGAGAGAGATTTAGTGAAAAGATGATGTAGAGATAATGTGGATAAGAGATAATGTACTTTTTTTATTAAATGAATTGGATATTGGTTAAAGGGTTGTGGATGCCTAAACACTGAACACTAAAAAAAACACATAAAAGGAAAAAAAGAAACTCACAGAATTACTCAAACATGTAAACTTTCACCAATTCATTATAAAATTCTAGCAAAACTCTAATAGGATAAACTAGAATATTCATACAAATCTCTACCACCGTATTTATACATTTTATTACCATCATACTGAAGCCTAAAAACACTAGTAAGATACTTAAAACAAAAAGGACAAAAAACACTACAAGGAGCACTTAATTAATTATCTCATCAGAAACTAGATTAAAAAAAAAAACAAACACCACAAAACAAGAAAATCTGAACCAATCAATTTGCTCTCTCAGCATGGCATATAAACACCGATTCCAAATCGGGAGGATTAAAGAACTCCCTAACTCCGTTGAAATTGCACTTTGAGGACGGACGGCGCTTCCTGGGCGCCGCCGGGCAGATCAATTTTCCGGTTATCCTTGACTCACGCGCTGTAGGGGTCGTTGCACACGCGCTGTCTTCATCCTCGTAATAATCCGCTGCCTTAGTAGATATTTGTTTTAACGGCGCCCTAATTTGAATTCCGGCTACGGCCCATTTCTTGGCTTCTGATTCTGCGCCTACCTCAGTTTGATGTTTCTTAGAAAAACCCATTTGTGAAAACTGAATGAATAAAGCAAAATATCGATTTTTTTTAGGAGGGAACAAATTTCTGAAGGCTGAAAGGCTCTTTTCTTAGGTCAGAATAGATAGGTCTGAGGAAAGAGAAAAGAGAGAAAAAGGGGGACTTTTCTTTTTGGAGAATAAATCTTTTTTCTTTTGAAATATGAGTTGGGAGGGGTTTTTGTAAGAGTGTTGAAATTTTGTGCACAGAAAGAAGAAAAGATGGCGGGAAAATGAGAGGAACTAATTATTTTCCTTTTTTTTGGCTTGTGACTTGTGAGAGAAGAGTTATATGTGAAAATAAAAGAAAAATGGTGTAGAAGCCCAAAAATATTATAGAAAGAAAAATGGGGAAAGGGCAAATGGCGCATGATTGGGTGTGACGGCGTGTGTGTGTGTGGGGATTAGGACGGAAAATTTCATGCTACATGTAGTGGCAGTGCCCCACATGTTTTTTTACCATTGATTTCACACACACCCATGTGGGTGTGTGTGTATGATTGTGTGTATATCAATGATAAAAAGGCATATTCATATTTGTTGTAACAAAAGGAAAACGACCTAATTTCTCCTCCCCAAAAATCGCCGCCGTCCTCGTTCCTTATCCTGCAATTTGAGCGCCTCCTCAGCGGCTGACCGGCTTCGCCGGTGGTCAGCCCTCCACCGTTTCTCTCATTCCCTGTTCGTGCACCTCTCTCCGGCGCTATAGATGGAGGGGTTTGGGAGGCCGGGTCTTTCCGTCACCGGACTCTGGCCTTGGTCTACCCCGATTTCTATGGTGGTTCTGAGAGGGGTATGTCGTCGGGGGCTGGGAGTAGCTTGGGTGGCTTGTGGCGTACTGGTCGGATTAGGGTGGTTGGGGCTGAGACACCTTTCATGCTCCCCTTTCTTTTTTTCTCTGCTCGCTGATGTGAAGTCGGAGAGAAGGCCGGAGCACCGGTCCCGGCTAGTGGTGTTGGCCGGATCTGGTGTAGTGGCGGTGTGGGGTGGCGAGTTTGCTTGTCTTCAGTTGTGGCCGGACCTAGCCGGCGGTCGTGCGTAGCTGCTGATGCTCGGGAGCCTTTCGATCTCCCGTTACCCTTGTCCTCTGATTCTGGGTTCGGGGGGTACCGGTGTTGCCGGGCTCGGCTAGTGGTGTTGGCTGTATTCGGAGCATTGGTGGTGTGGGGAGTGACATTGGTTCTCGGTCGATGGATAGGCGGTCGGCCTTTGGGTACGGTTCGTGGCTCGAGTTGCCGTCTCAGCTAGGCTTTAGGCAGTTTCGGGGTCGGTTCTTTAGCTGCGGACCTATCTTGGGTCGTCTTAAGTCCACTTGGCGTTGCTAGTCCGAGCTGCTGAGGGAGGATTTTGTTTTTGCTTTGCTTAGCATTTTTAGTTTTTAGTGTTTCATTGTTTGTGTCGTTTGTGTCTGTTTATGTCTCGTGTTCGTTATTGTGTTTTAGGTCTGGGCCGTTGGCCTCAGTTAACCCGAGTGTAACTTTATTATCCTGTGGGGACCGTACACTCGGGTATTACCCTGTGGGGGCCGTTTTTAGTGTTTTCTTGTGTTTTTTGTGTGTTCCCGAGTATTACCCTATTGGGGTCGGGCTCTAGGCGGTCTTTGACCTGTCCTCCCATTTTTATGCAGTTGTTAGCTGGTTGTATTCAGCCTTTGGCTGTCTGTATTCAGCTGGCGGCTGTTCTTTTGCACATTTGTGCGCCTTTATATAAAATCTCTATCGTCTCGACCAAAAAAAAAAAAATGATAAAAAGGCATGAGGGGGCAGTGCCCCCACATGTAGCATCGACTCTACCGATTAGGACATATGGGAATTTTGAGAATCTGTCCGTTCAAATATCGGGCACCTAAGGGCGTGATTGTTTATGGATTGAACTAGTTTTTATTTGATTTGTTTTTTAATCATAGTTAATTTTGAAAAAATGTGGTATGGCTAGTTGTTAGTGGATATATTAAAATAATATTTAAATAAAATAATTAAAGTTGATTTGATGTAAAGTAGGAGAAAAATGATTGAAAGTGATAGTTAGTTAGAGTTATGTGAGTAGATGAATAGTGAATTAAAGTTGATGTGATATGTAAAAATGATTGGTTGATATTATTTAATTATATTGATAATATTTATGATAGTGGGGTTGAGTTAAATTTGAATTTTGATTGATTTTTTTACTATTCAATTCATATACAATCGCCCCCTAAATATTTTTTGACACTCATTTTGGCGCCAATTGTTTGGGGGATGTGACCCATGAGTTGGCAGAGTTTCAGAAGGTTAATCATGAGCAATATGGGCTGGGCTTACATTCATCCAATTTGGGCTCTTTCAAGTTGTTGTATTTGCTTGGGAAATTTACATATCTATAATTCCTAGTCATCTTAATTTCAAGTTGTTGAAATTAGGGCACAAAATCATTCATAACTTCTCATCTTGTGATTGCGAGAGAGAAAGAGAGAAAGTTCGAAAGAGAGAGGGGTTGCGATGAGATATTAAATCTCTCGTATCGTATTTGTGATGAAAAGTTTAACATTTTGTATTTTTAATATTATTGTCAAATGATTAGTAAGGGGAAAAATTTCTCAAACAATAGATGTCGATTAATTGGGCCTCCAAAAGGCTAGCTAGTAGGCTAGTGGAGGCCGGAGGGGGCTTAATTGGAGACCTCACAAAAATTATTAGCACAAACTTCCACAGTATATATAAAATCAGTATGATGCTCTCTCTCTCAATACAGTTTAATGGTTCGCGCGTTGTACTGTTAATCAAATTACTAATTTTCTATCAAGAAAATAAATGTGATTATGAATTATACAAAACAGTGATGCACATGGTTGTTCTATTAAATATGTATACATTATTTAGTTCTCCTCGATAAACATCTCCACCAGCTTGAAAAATATTGAAGTGTCTTAGCGAACGCATAGCTACATTAGATGCTCAAATTAGATAAAACTTTATTTATTATGTGTAATGTTAGAGTCGAATACTCGACGTTCCAATCTGACTGGATCTTTTTCTACTTGTAAAGACAATTTATTGGAATTATTATTATTTTGAGGCATTTCTTTATCTTATGTCTTTGCATTTATCTTATATTTGCACATATGATAAAATTCTTAGATCATTATCAGCTTATGAGGCATGGTTGTGCATTTAATGGCAATCATGAAACATATTTTTAAAGCTGATCTTAAATAAGTTCCAAGTCGATGGGTATTTCGAGACAGGACATTGAATAACCTGGTAAGACTAGTGCATATGATTCATGCTCGTCGGACGAGGATGTTGCATTCCATCAACATTAGCGTGTGGACGCAATGCATATATGCGGGTGCTTGTTGGAGAATAAGTTCACTGAACATGGCCCGATGAAAATTCTTAACTAAAAGTTTTTAACTGTCGAATAAGAATTTTCCTGTTGCAATAGTACATGACTGATCCTCTGACTTGAGGCACGATAGTAATCTTGTGCATGTTGTGTTTTATTTTGATATATCCTTTGATTGCTAGGCAATCATAAAAGGGATATTTTGGGTATTGTATCAATGTGTATGGAGGTTTGTCTGTGGCCAACATAGAATTCGACACTTATGTGGATAAGTAAATTTTCTATGTTTTTCATAGTTTGTGATTCAAAGACCTTGGCCAAGGAGGGATGAATGTGGATTCATAAAGGAATCACTAAACTTGAAATGGAATCATATTAAATCAATTGGGTTTCAACTTATAAATCCATGCCCAAGATTTAATTGGAAAATTAGTTGTCGAAAAGAATTTTACATGTATGCACTTGCAATCGAAAAGGTTTATTCGCTATTTCACTGATGTAGACGCAAGAATGACGAAAGGGAATAATTGAGAACTCTCACACGAGAACTCTAGAGATATCACAAAGAACAAATAACTTTTCTTATTTTCCTTCCACCCCCCCGAGAACATCAATTTTGCACAGATAAATAACTTAAAGACTCCTAAACTCTCTACTGACTGACTCAGTCTTCCTAACAGATAAATACTAACATAACAATAATAAAAAAAGATAAAGAATAGAAATAAATACTAAGAGAATAAATAGTTTATTTTGGAACCAGCATGCGATCAAATTTCTCCAAAAAAGCTATCCGAGCTCGTCTTCATCATCCTCCCCCGATTGAGGAGGATTCTCCCTCGAATCCGCAACGAGCTCGTCTTCAACGGAGTCGTGGAAAACGAAAGGACCTAATTGAGCCACATGAACAATGTCCAACAAACGCAAATGAGAGGGCAAGCGAAAACGGTAGACAGCCGGAAGGACTTGCTCGATAACCTCGTAAGGACCAACTCGTCCGTCCGTTAGACAAAATCACCCACATCAAACAACACCGAACGATCGTCCAATGAACCAGAAACCTCGTCACATGCCCCGCTACGGGAAAGAAATAAGGCCGCCGGTGGAGACACCGACAACGAATGGGGAGCTGCAGGATGCAAAACTAAGCGGACCCCGTCAAATGTAAACTCATACGTGTTAAGACGCTCATCATGCAACACAGCTCGATCAAACTGCCAAGGACGTTCCAACAAAAGGTGTCATGTATCCATAGGCACAATGTCACACCACACCACATCCTTATACAAAGAGCCGATAGAAAAAGAGACCAACACACGACGTGTAACAGAGACATCATTGTCACTCTGTATCCACGCGAGAGAGTATGGATCCGGATGCGGTTCACTCACCAACCCCAGCTTCTGAACGGCTTCAACCGAGACTACGTTCTCGCAGGAGCCCGAATCAATCACAAAACGGCACAGCCGGCCGCCAATAGTGCATGTAGACACAAAACGGTGACGTCGCTGACACTCATTGTCGGAAGAAATGAGAGGAGACAACAGGGATCGACGAAGGACAAGTGCGTGACCCACATCCCCTGAGACATGAACCACGGGAACCTCCGGCTCTTTATTGAAAATAGGAGGGCCATCGTACTCTGTGGACTCCATCTCCTCAACAAT